CCCTACACACTTTTCCACTTATAACACAGGCCCTTTGTTTAATCATTGGATTATAAAATTATGGTGTTTGCATAAAACCACACATAAATATGCCTACCAGATAGTCAGCCGACACAGGGTTACTAGAGTAAAGAGTGACATTAACACAATCACAGCCAGGCACCTTCTGCGCAAGCTACTATAAACGAGCACAGGCTTAATTACACCATCTAGCTGCAAAAAGCAGTAGCAATTGCTTGTTCAATTATATTGTGAAGTTGCAACTTCACCCTCGATACCCAGGGTCCCAAAGTCAAAAAATATTACTTGTGCCCCAAAACTGAAGCGTTAGCCCATTTTTAAGATGTATCTCAGCAGGACAGCACAGCTTCAGAAAGTGGTTTCTTATTGCATAGTAACTTTCCACTGTAAGAAAATGACAATCAACTCTCTACTCATCAGTTACATGCTTCAGAGTACCATCAATTCAGATTTTCTCCCCCATATTCCCAACAACTATATTCCAGACAGCAGAACAATGTTACTGGAAAATGCAGACACCTTGAGAAATACCAATATTAAAAAAAAAAAAAATCAGTTTTAGATGTAAACATAAAAGCATGGTGGGGAGTTTGGCCAATATCACAACACTCTATAGTGTTATATATATATATATATATCTCTCCATAGTGCATACATAAAATGGTGTAATGATTAAAGAGGCTTTAGCGCCTACAGGCTTTTGTGCTTACAGAGGCAGTTTTAATATAGCGAGGTATCATTTATTTAAATTACATATAATCCTGGACCATTCTAATAAGTTTTTCCATACGTAGCACAATTTTACGTGACGTTTATTTTGCCAAACAAACCTTTTACATAAGCAGAAAATATGTGCTGTTTCCTACATTTGTAATTATGCAGCAGTTGAAAGCATAGCACCACCCTGTCTTGATGAGTCCCCCCCACACTGGTCACCAATGCAAACAGCAGTAAAAGTCAGTTATTACAAGTAAGAAGACACATTCCAAAAGGCTTTGAACTGCTTCCACCAGCTTCCAGCCTTTACCCTTCTCCTACCACGATGCAATTTTTCCTTTAAATCGCTAGATGCTTATAAAGAAGGGGAGACCATTTCTGGCCTAGTAAAGGTTCATACACAATAAAAATAAACAGCTATGCACATGTGTTTGTAGTTTTCAGTGTAAAAAAGAAGAGATAGGACTTTCAAATAAACTCCAGTTTTTGTTAAAATCTGCATCCTGTCAGTCAAGTAGCTGATACGTAATATAACTCACATCTTGGTGCACATGCCACTTCCTGGCAGAAACTTCAGGGCAAAATGCTGTAGTGTGTATGAAATTATGTAACGCAGTATTGCAATAGTATTAACTACATAATATAAGAGTGAATTCACTGGCTAGTGAGTACACAGATACCCATCCTCGCCTTGGAACTTCTGATCCCCTTTCTACCTTGCTCTTTGTCTAATAAAGGAATGTGTGGGAATCCACTTTGCTATGGATATTACATAAAATGTAAAACATAACCAAAAATGCTTACATACAGAGCTAGTGTGACTAAATCCTTAAAGGACTGACCATGGAAATACCTCCACAGTAATGTACAAATATTCCATTTAATGCAAGGAACACTCAATGAATTTGTGTGGCAAATCAGAACGTGTAAAATCAAAATACAAGAGTTCACATTTACTAAGTTGACAGCTATGTGGAGAAACAATTCTGCACGTATTCCTCTTGCTTGCCTCTTGCCTCTAGCTGAGCAGCTTTTCAAAGCTTCTCAGAATCTCAGAATTCTGTGACCAGCAACAGAGATGCGATTTTTCTGGTTTAGCACCAGAGTAAAAAAGCTGAAGGCTCAGTTGTAATGCTGACATCCTTTGCTGCCTCACAGAATCACAGAATCACAGAATCACAGAATCACAGAATCACAGAATCACAGAATCACAGAATCACAGAAT